GCGGTTTTTTTTGCCATCCCTAATTGAGAGAAACGAAAAGAGGGTGAACAATTTATTCTTCTTTTTCTTACATTGTTACAATCTAATTACCTCAATATATAGTAGTTTCCAATTTAAGGAAAAAGGAAAAGTTTCCTAATCTAAATAAGGAACACAATCAACAATACAATAATATCCCCTATACACGGGATTTCTACAAGATCCCAATGACAGAATTCTGGTGTGCAGATAGTAAGAAACTCCTGAGAGTGATTCCATACAACCTAAAAACTGACCATGGAATAAGAAATGTTCTTGATGCAGGAGATAGGAGGAATCAAGTAGCAGAAGCAACAGATCAAAATAAAAAAAACACGGCACAAGCATTTATGCCCTTTCAGAACACAAAGGGCTTTTCTAAAGTCCAAAAACGCTTCTTGGAGAGCAAACGCACCTTTTGCAAAAATTATAGATGTTTTGTTAAAGTGCTCAAGTGATAACAGTTTGAAAAGCTGTTTTAGAGGGAAAAAAAACCTCAATTCAGCTTTTATGAAAAGCAAGAACCCGCATTTTCTATTTACCGGGATGGATTTTCGAATTTTATAAATTCTAATGAATTTCTTGAATTTGAATAGATTTTCACAGAATTCATAAGAATCTCATAAAAAATGATGAAATTTTTTGTTATGTGTAATCTAAACTTGACATCCATTCAAATATTTTGAAACCCCTTGATTAATGTAATACTTATAAATCTATGACCTATTAAGGATACCTAGATTTTTAAAGGATCTTAAAATCTTAATTGGGGACGCCTAAATTTAAAATGACTTTTAAAATTCATTAAAATCTCGATTGATGACACTCCTGTTAGTTTTTCAATTATATACACTACAAATCAACATATCAAAACAAAAAAGTTTCCAACACTTGTATTGGTGTGTTAAAATATATAATTATACATTACAAATTACATATTATAGTATATTAAAAAAAATTACAGAAGAAAAAAGGATGAAATATAAGAAATAAATAATGTTTAATTAACAAATATCTTATTTATATAAAAGCACTTTCATAGTCGTGCTGTCAAGCAATCAATTTAATATTAACAACACATCTGATATTGAATCAACGGATTTTAATAACATCTCTTTCTAAGAAAAACTCTACTAACGAAATGCTTGTCAAGTAGATGATGTGCGTATTCTCAAGCAGCAGCATACAAACAAAATTAGATAATATGGGCCAATCATAGGTAGAAAAATATATCAACCAAACATTCTATCCATAACTAAAGAACAGTGGTTATTGCCACCCTTTACTGAAAATTTAAAGTTGAATCATTTTACATCTCAATAACCTAACAATTCATCTCTATCACGAGATTTTTCACAACTCACAAGAATGACAAGGAATGCATAATTTATACTCATGATTCTCATTTAGCCCTTGTTTGGCCCCCATCTCTTATAACTCATTTCCTCCAAACTCGCAAACTTTAATCAAAATCTACTAAAATATGTTTTTTATTCAAATCAAACAGCAACAGTAGCTCCATGAAACATGAAATTTTCAACTTATATGCAGAGATTGTGACAAAAAGTGATTGAAACCTAATTGCATACCAGCCAAACTTCGTTGATTTTGAGATAACAAAATTAAAATATCACACTTGGATTTGGTTGCCACAGGTCAACGCTCTTTAATGCAGGACTGGTGAATGGTGTTCCATATGTCATACATAGTCCACAATTACTACCTCAATAACTTGCTTTCTTGTCCACTAAAACAAATTGGGATGACCCACAACTGCAAAGGGTAACTATTTAGTCCAAAATTCAAGAAACAACTATAAATTTCAAACAAAAATAGGGAACCCACCCAAAAAATAAAATAAAATAAAATACATATATCAGAATGCTAATTTTGCATCCTTTAATTGCATTTTAGGAACCATCATCGAGGAATTTTTTTTTTTTTTTTGGAAAAATGCTATCTATCTAGACTACTCGTCACTAGTCTAGGTGTCAATTAGGTGGCACTAACGATTGAACCTCTTCAATAAGGGATATGGGTCCCATTAAAGATGTCTAATCACTTAATTGACACCTATAATGTCATAATGATGAACATCAGTAATTATGATAAATAGCATTACTCAAATTTCTAAGCATATAATTGCATGCATTAATATAATTCTAACTTAATGGAAAATATTTTAAACAGACACAAGGTATGATCAAATTCAGTAAAACAGCCACAACAGACCATTCAAGCAGTTTCCATAATTCAGATAAAGCAATACTTAATAGTTAATATAATGATGTTCGATTGCCACGTGTCCTATTTCACCGCTCGACATCAGAATGGAGTTACACCCATTATAGTTTCAATTACCCAACAGATACAACTTTCCATTCTTGAAAATATTTCATCGAGGGGTAAAAATACACAAAAATGCCCCCCAAAATTCATTATAAAATTAGAAACAATTCAAATCAAAGATTAGTAAAAACGCAATATCACTAGGAAATTAGTATTTTTCCAAAAATGCACATATCATTCATATTAGAATGTCGTTTCATTTCAAGCCAGAGTTTCCAAAAATGTACATATCATTCATATTTCAAAAATCATATAACATTTCAAGCCAGACGTTTAAAATTTAGTACACATCTTAAAGCTCTCACCACATAATTTAAAACCCATTTATCAAATAAAAACCATAGAAGTATCAATTTTACTGTTGTTATCACAAACGGCGCCATTTATCAACAGATAACTGACATGCAATCACATATAATAAGCACTGTAGAGTATATTGAAATTAAAAATAAAAACAAAAACTGAGAAAGTCCCTTACCAGGATCGCACTGCTGGTAAAATTCTTCAACGTCTGCACCACAAAAATAGCAGGTAAAAAAAACCACATTAGACCCAAGGGAAAAAAAAATCTCACGATGAAAAAGGAATTGAAAAGTGAAAATTCAAAAAATTCAAAAACACCTGTTGTCAGTGCTTTGATAAGGCCAGTTCGACGACCCAAGAAATCTCTAAAAACTTCTTCGACAGTTAGAGGATTGTACAGTCCTCCGTCCATTTTTCCTTAAGAAAACAAATAAAAAGATGAAAAAAAATAAAGCGTCCCTAAAAACCCAGTGAAGTATAGAAATGGACGAGGGATTTAATGGAAGGACTAAGAGGGGGGAGTGTGAGAGAATACATTTTTGAAAGGAAGAAGAAGAAGAAGAGAAATAAATTGGATTGGGTGGATTTGAATCTAATTAAAATGGACGGGTTTAACTAGATACCAGAATTGGTGATGAGTCCGAGAAAGCACCACAGGGTTCGGGTCAGGATCGCTCCCAAATCCTGTTGAAAACTTATTAGGGCAAACCCCCCGTCCAGTGTGTTTGGGACACATTCTTTTGAAAGAATGTATTATTGAATAGTAAATTAATGAAGAATGTGTAGTTAAAAATGAAGGAAAAGTTATTGATGTGATGAAAAATATTATTTTATAGAAGAATGTGTGGTTGAAAATGAGTAGAAGAATGAAAATGAAAATTTTTACGTGTACCAAACAGGGGTTCTTTTAGACATGGTCTAAGCTGAGGCAAACCTGCAGAAGAAGAAGAAGAAGAGAAATAAATTGGATTGGGTGGATTTGAATCTAATTAAAATGGACGGGTTTAACTAGATACCAGAATTGGTGATGAGTCCGAGAAAGCACCACAGGGTTCGGGTCAGGATCGCTCCCAAATCCTGTTGAAAACTTATTAGGGCAAACCCCCCGTCCAGTGTGTTTGGGACACATTCTTTTGAAAGAATGTATTATTGAATAGTAAATTAATGAAGAATGTGTAGTTAAAAATGAAGGAAAAGTTATTGATGTGATGAAAAATATTATTTTATAGAAGAATGCGTAGTTGAAAATGAGTAGAAGAATGAGAATGAAAAAATAATGTGTACCAAACACTCCCGTCCAGTGTGTTTGGGACACATTCTTTTGAATGAATGTATTATTGAATAGTAGATTGATAGAAAATGTGTGGTTAAAAATNATTATTGAATAGTAGATTGATGGAGAATCTGTGGTTAAAAATGAAGGAAAAGTTATTGATGTGATGGAAAATATTATTTTATTGAAGAATGTGTGGTTGAAAATGAGTAGAAGAATAAGAATAAAAAAATAATGTGTACCAAACGCTCCCGTTCAGTGTGTTTAAGACACATTCTTTTGAATGAATGTATTATTGAATAATAAATTGATAGAGAATGTGTAGTTAAAAATGAAGGAAAAGTTATTGATGTGATCGAAAATATTATTTTATTAAAAAATGTGTGGTTGAAAATAAGTAGAAGAATGAGAATGAAAAAAATAATGTGTACCAAATAGGGCCACTTCAAAATGACTAAAAATTTCCCTATTTGACCTTTGAGATGTGAACCATCCCTTACCGTCCAAGTAGGCGTTAAATTCAGTCAAAATTAAAAAGGAATAATTGCAACTGCACTACTAAATCTTTCATTTTTTTTCCTGATTATACCCAAACCTTTCAAATAAATAATTAAAGTTCAAAATTAATTTTTCAACCACCAAAATTAATTTGTGATCTTCTTTTTCCCCAAATCCCCCATCCCCACCCCCAAATAGGGTTGATGGGCTTGGTGTTAACATGTTGTACCAACATAAACGAGTTCATCGGCATCAGAGAGAAGACTCCTGGCGATATGAGTAGCAGAGTTTCCGTGTCAGAGATAATATTATTGGAGATTGGCCCACTTCAAGATTAGCATCTTCAAGAATATCCATAATTTTATATATCGTGAACTCTCTCTCTCTCTCTCCTCGAAGGACTTGTTTTCTCTATAGATGCTAGCTTGACTGTCGAAGAGACGCGAGCTGCTATGGATGGTGTAGAGGCTGATGCGGAGGTAGAAGCGATGGGGTGGTACTGCCAGTGAGTCTTTGAACCAAGTTCATAAAGTCATCGATGGTGGTGTGATAGACTTTTGGTGAAACCGTGTAGATTATCATCTTTTGGTTATCGTCGACCTGTTGCAGTGGAGGCTGAGATGCTTGCAGTGGTACTAGGTGGTGATGTGGCGATGCAATTGGTGGTTTACTGATCTTGTGCGAGGTTTTACTGACTTTAAGTGCTGTTGAATGAGGACTTCGTAGCTCTTTTCTATGTGATGGCATGTTATCGTCGTCGACGTCGGAGAAAGATTCAACAAGACCAACTTATAACGGATACAAAATTATTTGTTTTGGTAACATCTATTTAGTTGTAATTCAATGCATATAATTAGCTTGTTCACATCCTCAATCTGATTATTACATGGTATTTTGTGCGGGTGGGATGAGATATTTTGGGAAGAAGAAGATAGAAAATTAATTTTGGATTTTGATTCTTTGATTGAAATGTCTGGATATGAGCAGCAAAAAATGAAAGATTTAGGACTGCGGTAGTAACTATAACTTTTTAATTTTGGCTGAATTTGACGCCTCTACTAACAGACTGGCACGGCGGGGTGGCTCACACTTCAAAAGTCAAATAGGGAGATTTTCAGCCAATTTAAAAAGGATATAGAGGTATTCCGCAATAAGTCTAAAGGTTAGGGAAGTTTTGCACCAATATGCCAAACTAAAACGACTTAGGATTTTAAAGGCCATGAGTTAAATGCATTGTGGTCATCTAATTTTCAAGAGTTGCATTTTGATAGTTCTTCTTTAATTTTGTACAATCAAATTATTCGATTTTGATTTGCTTGTGAATACCACTTCAAGTTGCTTGCGAATCTGACTTTGTAGGATGTCGACAAATATCTTTAATTAGACAAACATATGCTGACATAGGCTAGATTTGTAGCAGCAAAACGAAGTCAAAGTGAATTGATTGCACAAATCCACCTACCTTGTATAGGATATCGACAAATTACTTAATTAAACATACATATGCTAACATAGGCCAGATTTGCAACAGCAAAACTCAGTTGAGTGAATTGATTGCACGAAATGAAATATGGGTGCATCAAATTCAAGCAGTTGCCTATGCATTTAACTCGAGTAATTTTGTCTTAATCATCGTTTTTGGAATTAATTTTAGACCACGTTGAGTCTCAATCACTTATCTTTAACATTGTACAATCAAATCATTCAAATTTGATTAGATTGCAAATTTGAATACTTCTGTTGACATACAAAATGAGGCTCAATTAAATTAGGCCCGATGATTAAATGAGGTCCAATTATGTGGTCAAAGAAATAAAGCTCAATTAGGAAAATTGAGGAATGAGCCCAAATAAGACCATTGTAAAGTATAATGATAGCCCACGGGCAGAAGACTATCATCGCTCAAGCCTGCAGAATGTCCAAGACCTGAGCGAATGAAGTACTAGATTGTCGCTCAGAACGAGCCTTCAAGACTCCCAAGGTCCGGATGAATATAGCGTTTTGTTTAGTTATTGAAGCAGTTATTGAGCAACCTTATCACATCCCACGATCCAAGAATTTCGGTTACAAGCAGTTAAACAACAAGATCACTAATAACAGTTGCTAACGGCAGTTCCATGTAGAGTTGGCACCCCGCCCCACCTTAAAACAAGGCGAGGCGGGTTCAGGGAGCGGGCTTGCCCCGTTTATTTATTTATTTTTTTTCAAAAACTTCAAATTAACTATTTTTTGTTTTTAATTTGTAGTTAATTATTTTTTTTATTCTTCACGGGGAGGGTTCTCGTCGGAGCGGGGCAGGGCGAATTTTTTTGCCATCACTAGTTCCATGTCAAGTTAGTCATCACGAAGAAAGTGGGTAGTTATAAAGCGCCAAACAGTTTCTAGCAGTTTTACAAGAAGAAATTGGTAAACGAGTATGAAAATGAAAAGAAGACATAGAAGAAAGGGACCTCGAATCAAACACTCTTAATAGAGAATATGTAATTTCAATTCATTTACTTTCTATTTGCAAACTTTCAATTTACTTCGTGTGCTTGTGCTCCTTGGAGGCGTTTTGCTTTTTCCCAATTGTAATCTTCATAAATAAAGCGCTCTTTTTTTGAGACTTTGTCTCAAAAGGTTTGTTCCTTATACAATCGTCTGAACCTTTCTTTTAATTGTTAGCGATAATCCGTGCGAAACAACTTCAATTTTCTTGCCAATATAACTTCTTTGTCGATCTCTCATCTTTAATATTATACAATCAAATCATTCAAATTTGATTAGATTGCAAATTTAATTTTGCTTGCAAATATAACCTCTTTGTCAATAGTCGTCAACAAAATAAGATTGACACCTGCGCACTAAGAGGTCATATTTGAGACAGCAAATCGTGTATGAATGGATTAATTGCGTGAAATTAAATATACGTAACTCATTTACAACTGGATGGCCTCAAAGCATTTAACTCGAAAGTAATTTTGTCTTAATCATCTTTTGTCGAATTAATTTTTCAACAGATTGATCACTCATTTGTAATTTTATAAAATCAAAACACACAACTTCGATTTTATTACTAATCTAATTAATTTGTTGATTGTCATCAACAAATTACTTTGAAAAATGCTATTCATCCCCAGTCTATGTGGATGTAAATGATTGGTTAAATGAAATTAAATGACTTATTTAATTTTACCTATAATTTAATGTCACATTAACGCCACATAGATTGAGGATGTATCCCCAGTGGGGATTGACAACTGCGAATGGAGAGGCAAGAGGTGCAAGAGCAAATCAAAGCTGATTCTCATGCAACTCGCGGACCACAATGCATTTAACCCAAAAGTAAATTTGCAAATTAATTTTTCAAAAAATTAAAAAAAAAAATTTTTTTTGAAAGTTGATCCAAAACATTCATTATAAAATTAATTAAAATTCATTATATCTTTAATCTCAAATTTGTCATATTTCAGAATTACGACAATAATATTTTTATTTTCTAAAATCAATGTAACTAAATTTCAGTATAAAAACTAAAAATTCAAGAAAATGCTACTTAAACAAGATTTAAAATACTACAAAAAAATTTTACTAAAAAAATAAAAAATCATACAAATTCTTAGTAATCTTTATTAATTTTTTTTTAAAACTTATGTAACCTTTGTTAATGTTAAAAAAATGGATAAATCTTAAGAATTAAAAAGAAATACATTTCAGATAATCGAATATCGTGAAGTTGCATCCTGGCCACTTATCGCTAATTACATACAATCAAGCCACCCAACTTGGCCACTTCTCTAGTGTTGTTAGTCCAATGCTGGTGCAGTGGATCGTGTCTATATTTGCAAATTAATTAAAGTTAGGTGACTTGATTGTACTAAATTAAAGATAAATGACTTGATTGTAACTCTACTAGAAGTTGTGGGGACCCAGAATGCACTTAACCCCATAATTTATCCCCCATTTTGGAGTTTATAACAAGTAGGTCATACTGACCTAAGCTTCACGTCACCACTTGACGCGTCATTGGAGTGGAATGTTCCATCTTATCACGGGGTTTTATAAATTTTCTTTATTGTCTCACATAAATCTATAATTTATCATATCAAGAATAATTTATTTTGACGGTTTTAAAGCTATTATAATTCAATTATTTCAATAATATTTTACTTTTCGCTTTTCAATATGTAATAAACACTACAAAATCATTATAACGTATAATTTTTCGATTATTAATTCTCAATTAATTAACAATTACATTAATTTAAACTCAATAAATCTTGACTTGATAAATTTTTAGCTTCATGAGTCTGGAATTATTATAAATTAATTTATTTATATTTACTTATCTTAGAATTTTAATGTATATTTAAATTCATGTATTAACAATTAATTCTTATTTTCGAATGTAGTATAGAAATGTTGCTCATTTGTATTATTTCATCATTAAAAAAAATTGAATCATAGAAGTTGAGTTTTGAGAATATAATTTTCTCCTCTTGAATTTTTATCCTAAGAGCTTGTTTGGGAGAGATTAAAATCAGATTAAAATTGAAAATATAGTCGTTATTGTTGACNCAAGAGCTTGTTTGGGAGGGATTAAAATCAGATTAAAATTGAAAATATAGTCGTTATTGTTGACTTTTATTAGACGGGTGGGACCCAATAACGGCCATATTTTCAATTTTAATTGGATTTTAAGCTCTCCCGAACGGGGCCTAAATTTTATTTTCTTTAGCTCGTTTGAGACCCTTTCAACAAATTAGTATCAAATATTACTTTTAAGATATTTATAAAGTATTTCAGAATAATGTGAAATGCACGTTCAAATCTGACTAGTAATTTTAAATATCTAACTAAAAAGTATTAAAAAAAAGATCAAGGTTAATGAGAGAAGCTAATCTAACAATATCTGATTTGGCATACCTAACACGTTTCTAATGGCTAAGTGGAGAGTCTGCAGGAATGATAATATGGCTATCCACTAAAGTGTGTTGAACAAGTAGGCGTATCTGTTGAATTCTACGACAACAAACTCAATGGATTCAGTTATAGTAATCCTGCTACTGAATATATATATCAGCACAATATATTAGAGGTTACAATCTCTTAAAGGCAAATATGAGATAAAATCACCATTGTTGTTCGACCATAGTCTAACCGAGAGGGATCCCTTTTAAAATTTTCTCGTCGACAATAATTCCTTAATTAGTACTTTCTTTTGGTTCTATGCTCAATATGAAGAGAAAGCAAGAATCGTATGTAGAGCGGTAACCATGGAAAGGCGATGCAAACACCAACATCATCTAAAAATCGAGTTTTAGGTTCTTTGACAAATTCAGTTTTGAATTAATATATACCGGTATGTACCTAACCACACCTGATCCGTCCATTGCAGGAGGGCCGTCGGCAAGTCGGGTTTCTAAGAAAAGTACATAGGTCTGGGCTAGGCCTGTACCGTTAATTGACACGGGCAGATTTTGGAATAGATTTGGGCCGTGATGGTTTCATCATAAAGCGGGCTGATCTAAACCTCACCATTTTGTCTTGACTTGTCTATATGCAATGTTTTTCAATATGTAATTAATCAACTAGTGTCTATAACGGGAAAGTTCAATATTCTTCTTGGATTTTAAAAAAATTATCCTTTGTATTTTCTGGCTATTTAAGTCCAATAACTATTGATAAAAATACTTATTTGGTTCTTGAATAAAATATTTTTTCCTGAATTTCTGACTTAATTTTGAAAAGAGCAAATAGGAAAATAAGAATTCCTTTACATTTGGTAAGAAAGCTGATAGAATCGAAGAAGGAAAAATAGTGAGATTCCAATTCAATATTCCATTACTTCAACCATGAGGTCAACAATTATGCTCTTAGTTAGTAGTGACATATATCTTTCTTTTTCCATTTGTAAGGGCATGAAGGATTTTTTGTTTTTTGTTTTTTTTTTTTTCTCTCAAATGGGAGTTTGGATGTAAAAAATTGCCTAATTTGGGCTTTAAACCTACCCCATAAAAAATAAAACTCCAACGAAAGATCTACGAATCAAAATCTCGATGTATATAATTACAAATTGATCCAATGAGAATAAAGAAAAAGAAATAATCCCTCTTCCCGACAAGTCAAGCATACATGCCCATCGCCTCAATAAAATGCCTTACGAAGCAAATCGGCCACCATGGATTCAGCTTAGGACAGACCAAGAACACGACTTAGCTTCCCTAAACTTATACAACAAGAACAACTATACCATTTCAAATGATGTTTCAGTACAATTGAAACAAGAAGAAACTTGTTCTAAAATGCATTAGAATTAAAATCAGTCGCATATTTATTTGCTTTATCAACTCACACGGCAAGCAAAGTATAATGTCTGAAGAAAGCCTTGATAGTGAAAAAATTGTGCCACTTCATTTGGAAACAGTCCTTTCTTTAAAGAATCTTCTTTAGTGAGTCCCATTATTACAAAAAAAAAAAAAAAGGTTCAAAAACGGTCTTTTCGAGATACAAAATCTATTATACTCTCAACCACTGAACTTTGTTCCAAAGGTTTGTAAATAACTTGTATGCTGAGAAAGGACATGCCAACAAGATATATTTGTTGAAGAAATCTCATGTGTTCTCCTCCTTAATTTAGGATTTTCAAGGTGTCACTAGGTGAGAATTTACGTGACGAGAGCATGTTTCTCTAAAGCATAACAACATAGATGACGAGTGTATTATGTAGGTGCCAATATCATTGGAATTTTAAAATGCACCCAATGATTTCTAACACCACTAACTTTGAGAATTTTTTCCCCGAAACATTGCTTCTCGAAAAGATAGTGGTGTCTCCCAATGTTGCAACACTTAAGCATCGTGGGGGCTACATTAGTATTACTCCGATGGCATGTGTTAATACCGATTTGAGTTAGTTTATACATATGATCTTACTCTGAATGTACGAGGGATCTAATTTCTTTGCGATTTGTTGTACCAACCAAACAAATTCGTTAAATGAGTGCCCATCCTTGGATGGTTGGATAATAATTAATTTGTATATACCTTGCTTAGAGTGTTTGACAACGTATTTTAGGTGTTTATAAATAGGATAAAGTTAGTTTGGCAAAAAGATTTGACAGAAAAATCGACGTAATTGCATGTAAGAGTAGATGATTGGATGAAAAAGTTGATTTTATTTTAAACCGTCCAATGATAAAATGTCACGTTATCAATTTTTTTAAATCCATATTTCGTATGATTTACGAGTCCTATCACTTCTTCACCATCCATTTACTCTAATTTATAAAAATACGCTTTGCATATTTTTTTTTTAAAAAAATAATATACTAATATATTTTAAAATAATAATTTACTATTAGCCAAAAATGTTAACTACCCCATCTTCCTCAAGGCTTCTGCCACCTCTGCCTCGAGAACCCCACAAATCTGGACGCTCGTTGCTCATCAAATCATCCACAATCCCTCTTGATTTTTTTTATTCCCAGAAGCAAAATATAAAATAGCACACATGGCTGCTGGTTTCTCGCTCTTTCCACCTATAACCTCGGGGGAGAGAGAAAGTGTTCAATTATACTACTGCATTAAAAAATGTACGCTACAATGAACGGCTATTTTGATCTAGTTTCCAATTTCTAATCGTCAGAACCTATGCACTGTACATTACACTTCCGTCTTTAAATCCTGGGTTACACTCTACTCTTTTTACGAAGAGTCGAGGGCCATTTTCACACTCATCTCGTTTTTTGTCTCTTCCACTTCTAGTGCAGATTTTCTCTGAAAATGTTTTCTTCAGTGGAACTGGGTCTTGGTTCTATTGGTTTCTCTACTTAAAATGTAACTGCAGATTTTCTGGGCCCGGTGTTTCCTGCGTTTGCTGTATTTTCATTGTAATGATTTTATCTTTTGTGGTGTAGGCCCTCAAAAGTTTGATTCACTATTCTATTCAATTCATGATGTGATTTTTTGTTTTTTCAGATTCTCAGTGAATCTCGAGAAAATTGGGGCATTGAATCGAATATGATAACTTGTATAGCTTGTTCAAAGCAGCAAACTGCCAGATCTCTTCGCGACCCTCCTGAAGAGGATGACACCGCCGTCACTCCCTCCAGTAAACAACCAATCAAAGCCCTAACCAACCAGGTAATAAAACACTGCAAATTTCTCCTTAATTCATCATTTATTATTTGTGGGTTTATAAATATCAATTTAAATTATTGGGTATTTGTGTTTTAGATCAAGGATATGGCAGTAAAGGCATCTGGTGCTTACAAGTCCTGCAACCCATGTTCCCGCTCCTCAAGCAACAACCATGGCCGAGCCTACCCTGACTCGGAAGCCGGCTGGGTTTCGGAGAGATTTTGCGGCACCTACAAGAGAACAGGGAGCTTAGACAACCATCCAAGGCTATGGGGGAAGGAAATGGGAGCCAAACTCAAGGCCCTTTCGAGCGGTGAAGCCACGCCCTCTTCAGTTAGCGGTAGAAGTGTATCGGTAGTGTTCATGGAGGAAGATGAGCCCAAAGAGTGGGTTGCACAGGTTGAGCCTGGTGTGCTCATTACTTTCGTTTCATTTCCTCAAGGAGGAAATGGTCTCAAAAGGATTCAATTCAGGTACTACTGCTGTCAGCTTCTGTGCTGACATTTGTCAAATATAAATTCTAGTTTCTTGGTGTATTCAGTTTGAATTATATAAATAAATCTTTAGGTTACAAGTCAATTTGAAATTTGAAATATTCAAAAATTAAAAGCAAGAAAACAGTTTTATTAACAACGAAGAAAAAATATTTCCAAATAGGATCAATGAAATTAATTCAGACGAATCTGAAAGCTGTGTGTGTATTTTTTTTTTTTTTGGGGAGCTGTGAAACTAGTAATTTTCAAGGGCTTGGTTTTGAAGGGCCGTTGTGTCTGGAGTATCATAGGACTGAAAATAGAATGTTAAAGCCCGACAAGTAGAGAAAGAGAAAAAGAAATGAGGAGGGACCAAAGTCTGATGGTTCTCACTCCTCATTTTCATAGCCTTTTTTTTACCACATAAATCCAACACGGACTGTTTGTTTACTAGAGTGTCAATTGTTTTGCTATATGCAAATTGACCAATTATCTATCCCATTTTGGGAGTAAACTAAAGAGGTTTATTTTATTTTATTTTGATAGGTTAAAGAGGTTCATTACTTGAGTTTTAAACTGAATTTGGATTGTTTAGACAAATCTTTTTTGTTGATAACCACGGACCAATCAATTGAATATTGATTAATACACAATTGATCGAATACTACTTGCAAGCAGCTCTTCCCATCATAAACAAAATGTTCGTGTCACCTCAAGTCAAAGATTCTTTCTTTGTCGTAATAAAAGGGCACATCAGGCACTGCTTTCAGCCAATGAGCTATTAGATTCCATTTCGACATCACAGATAGTAAAGAAAGGACTCATGAAAGAACCCAAATTAGACTTGTGTCCTTATAAAGTTCATCGGACTGTCTTCTAATGATTGGGTTTAATTTGTGTACATAGAGTTTGTTTGGTTTACATGATTACAAATGTTTATTACTCCATTGATATTGTCTACGAGTTGTGCCCTAGGCCTTCACTTGACACGGTTGGTTGTTACTGTAATGTCGTACCTAAATTATGTGTTACTCTAATACATAAATTTACTAGCTAGAATCCTCTTCTTTTCCCTTTTTTCCCTTTTTGCCACTCTTTATCATTCTGAAGGGTTTTATCCTAATAATTGCAAATATTAAATTCAAACTTCTCCTTCATGATTTGTCCAGTCGAGAGATGTTTAACAAATTGCAAGCTCAACGGTGGTGGGCAGACAACTACGACAAAGTGATGGAATTATACAATGTGCAGGGGTTCAATCGTCAAGCAGTACCAGAAGAAACAACTCTGCTGAAACCTGAAGAGGAGGTCAGCTTTACTTCTGCCATAATTGGTTTCTGTTTTTATTGCTTAGTTCCGGACTTCCTGACTTCCTGTCTTGAATTTTGACAGTGTAATTATTGTTTTCTAAAATTGACATATTCTTTGCATCAATTCGAACCATATATGTATGTACATATTTGATGATGTTCTTATTGTTATTAGTGACTAAATCCTTGAAAATGATCTGGCTGTCTTCAGAATGATAGTTGGCTTGATCTATCGGTTCCCTGGATGTTATCAGGGAGCAGATAATTGGCAATACACATGATTCTAATGCATTGAACATGGGGATTTAGTGGGGGGATAATCTTTTAACAAAGGGTAAAATGTTCTAATTTTCTTTACCAAGGGCTGCAATTTGGAAAACTATTTCATTTTTGTGAACATGTGTATCACATCAAAAATGTTTTTCTTTCAGAACTCAAAAATTGAATCTGCTGAGAATAGCCCTGTCGAACACCACCAAATGCAATCTCGCCATTACTGCGACTCTGGTGATCTTAATTTGACACCAAAACTGTCCAGCCTTAGTGCTGCAAGGACGGATGCATCTTCCATCAATGCTTCTGCAAAGTCTATTTCTTCAAGAGAGTCTGAACACTCCGGGGAGCTTTCAGTGAGCAATGCGAGTGATTTGGACACTGAGTGGGTCGAGCAAGATGAGCCTGGAGTTTACATCACTATTGGAACATTGCCAGGTGGCACTCGTGAGCTTAGAAGAGTGCGGTTCAGGTGAGTGGTTCTCCTTTTATGCATAAATTCAACACTTCTAACAATTAAGGTCATGTAAGACAAGATTTCTTTTTAAAACTTTCGTCGAAGAATTTCACGTTCTAGTGTCATTTGCAAGCCAAGTCAATAAAATTTACACGTTTCCTAGGTTTACGAGTAGTCTAAAAAAACATGAAATCTATTTGACTTGGAAATGGTTGTTTGGTGCAGCCGAGAAAGGTTTGGAGAAATGCAGGCACGGTTGTGGTGGGAAGAGAATCGAGCTAGAATTCAACAGCAGTACTTGTGAACTGGGATTGACTTTACAAATTGGCTTTTGAAGTGTTCTGTGATGCTTCTTCAATGTACAAGATTCACCAGAAAGTTGGTTATACCTTGAACTGTGAATTATATTGCTTCTCTTTTTTCTTTTTGTTGTGCTTCTTTGTGGGGCTGGGGCTGGGGGTGTTGTTGAGCTATACTTAGTTTTTTCTTTATCATTGGTTTAGTTAATTTTACTAGGGTGGCTAATATTTACAACGATGACTTTGTAACTTAATTTTGGAACTTAGAAATTGTCGTCAAGTGTTGTTTTTAGGTGCAACTTGACCGTGGATGGAACTTAGAAATTGTGTTTGATTAGGGGTGAGTGTTTGATACGCGATATTGGACAAAATAAAAGAGATGGTACATTGGATGAGATTTTAACTTATTTTTCATCAATATAGTAGATTTCAACAAAAATAGGTAATTTCCGATTTTGGAAAAGGTTTTGAGAAAGGTCTCACACACTAGCAACCATTCCCAAGGAATAAAGGGGAATATGAAAGTTCGTATCAAAAGGTACCAGAACAAGATGTTGCAGGACAACTTGAAAGGATTCATATCGCATGTAAGGAATTGTAAATGTAGTGTGCTGTATAGAAATAAAGAATTAAAAAATATTATTTCTTTTTCTCGATCTTGATTTGAGTAAAAATTTCAAAATTACAAGCCTAGTTGAACTTAGAAACTGATGTAGAATTCCTACTACTGTTGATGAACACAAATTCTTTCCTTGAATTTGTCATTTTTATAAAGAGAACTTCTCTACTATTTTTTGAATCGATTCTTGCTCATTATGTCATTAAGTAATAGAACCATTGCCTTTACGTAAAGGAACTGTTCTACTATTCGAAACACATAGAATAAGTTATCGTTCTCACACCATTCACCATTAAACTCGAGTCCCATAATTTCGAGTTGTTATCCACCACTTAGTTTCGAGTCCAAATCTGGTGTTCCGAAGTTGTTGTCCCCTAATTTGTCCCATTAATACATTTTTTATACATTCTCATTTGTTATGAAGAGATGATGTGCCGAAGTATAAAAAACGTATTGTGGCATAGTTAAGGGGACACTTTCAGAACATTTGATCTAGCCTCCTTATTTCCGACTTTTTTTCCAATTTAAAAGCCGGCCTTCTACAAGTATACAAGAAGGCTAATCTTAGTAATGAAGTAGGGAATTAAGGGTGTGTTTGATTGCATTTATTTTTCTATGAAAAATATCATTTTCCCACCAAAATTTATATTTTGAATTGTTTGATTGCTATTTTTTTCCATTGAAGATATTTTATAACTTTTAAAAATATGCCCTTGTTTTAAGGAAAACATTTTCTTTAGAGAAAATTGGTTTTTGTTTCCTCAAAAACAAGGAAAATATTTTCTTTTCTAAAAAATATTTTTCATGTCAATCAAACATGTTATGCCTCGTCACCGAGACTACAGTTAAATTGCCATGTTACAGTCCACGTGGAAAGAAAAGTTAACAGAAATCCAATCGGTCAAATATAAAGAAGTCAATGAAAGGTTGAAGCTCATGTGTCGAAGCACTGCCTAATTGGTTGAACATGTTTAGTCGAAGCGCTACGTAAGAAATCAAAGGAGAAGCCGAAGCTCTTCACACAGAAAACCACCAATATGAAGCTCCATCTTGCCAAAGCCCGTAGTTCTTCCGAAGTCTCTGGACCTGAAGCCGTCTCTTACAAAATTTGTAGACAATTTTTAAAAATAATTGATGTAACGTTTGTAATAAAGAATGTCAGGTATGTCAGTCTAATGTATAGGACGGCTGATCCGTTGTCAATATATTATTTATATAGTAGACTTAGTGATGTGAGGCTTAAGGCAAGAAGATGGGGCCACGTGGTTCTGATACAACGGACACCACGTCTGTCAGAACACTATAAATAGGCGTTCTTATAATTTTTGAAGGACTTTTTTATATGGGGAGGATCATTGGCAAACATATTCTAAAACATAAGAAAACACTCAAGAAAAATACTTTCAAGAAATCTTCTTGCTTGTTCTATATTTATTAGTTCGATTTTATGGTTATTTACACATTGTCGGTGATTGTTTGTTAGTGTAATTATCTTAGTCACTATTGTTGGTGTTCGAACGCTTTTGTCTCGCACCGTAAAGCATCTCCCGCGTTCACGTGTTATCCTTCTCTCACCGGTCATTTGATCAAAACGCGCCGAAACTTGCTTGAGTTGGCGTAAAGGAGCTCGACATCTGTTGTTCACGTTGACGTTACGTTTTTGGGGTTAACAAAACACACTCTAGAAATGTGTGCAAGATAGGCCTTGTGAAAATCTTTAGCACCTATAAACAGTAAGATTTGGTAAAGACATTCTAAATCCAGATTTGACAACATAAAAATGCGTGTATACACTATTATTCCTTATTCCTCCGAGAAAGAAACTGTCCATGATGATGAAGTTTAAGGTTAACAAAAATTGTAACATTCACTAAAATGTAGTCAATTGCTGGACCTAATTCTCTTCAGTCCGCCAGATTTAGTTGTCCCAGATGATTCGGCCTCAGACGAACCCTCCATGGATTTGGATAAAGAGTTGGAAAGATCCCCATAGAGATCAACCACCCTTCTGAAATTATTGTTGAGCTCCCGAATTAGACTCACATTTCGAGTCAAATTATCTGGGATCTTGGACTCGTGGTTCTGGTTAATCTCGTTAATTAACAGCCTGTTTTGATCCAAAATGTTTTGAACTTGCACAAAGTTTTTCTGAAATGTCTGAACAACTTTGCTTTCAATTTCTGCTCCATTGCCGTTGCCAATTCCCGAAAATAGATTGTCATCCATTTTACCTTCCAAGCTCCAATGCAACTAAAACCACTACATATTCTGAAATAAAAATTAAATTTACCAAAGAAGTAAAATTCTCATCTTTTTCTTGTTATTGGATTTTAGTTCTACAGAATATAAGAGAAGTTCTGGTTTAATTGCTTAATAATTGTATCCAAATTGACTCCAGAAGAATCAACAAAAAGAACAATTTTTTGACGAGTCCATTCTTAAAAAAAATTGATCAAAACGAAAGATTCCCCTTGGAAAATGGAAAGCATACGAAACATAGAAATATCTAAGGACGTGCAGCCAAAGAAATCCAAATAAAACAAAACCAAATATCGAAAATCTTTATGCATTCAACTCCAATATATATTTTTTAAAAAAAATATGCAAATATCTGGGTTTACCTTGAAATTCAGCAACATTTTTCCCCCAGGAAACTCTGTAGAAAATAGAAACCGAAATTGGAATCACAGAGGCCCAGAAATCAGTTGAAATCTGAGCTGTAAACAAAGGAGGATTCTGTGTGATTGCGGCGAACTGACGCCTGCTGGTCTTGGAGCTGTTTCTTGGAGGTTTTATCTTAGTATCTGTATGAGAGATTGATAGACAGATATTTGTCTCCTTCTCCTCGTTTACTTCACCTGCGAGATTCTCTCTTCATTCATTGCTTGCTTTTTTCTACGAGGAAGAATAGAATAGGATGATCAAAAGTCTTTCTAATCTATGACTCTACACTTTCTCTGTGATTCCTCCAAAGTAAACAATGAAAATTAAAGTAATCCATCGTAGCCGTCCCTGCCACCAAAAGGTATACTAACATTAGCTGTAGCTGTAATGTAACCTAGTCCTAGCCAAGCCATGTCCAAACAATAAGTTGTCACAATTTTTTTTGAGTTTTGCTATATAAACATAATGTTCGACACAGAGGATGACACAATACACACATGAGGGAGGTCTGCATTATTTAACTCAGATCGAACCACATGCAATGTGAGAAGTCGATCAACCTCTATGTCAAACATTATGTTCATTTAACTTAATTCATTTTTTTTTACAATCATGCTTGTTGTATATTATGGTTCACATCAAAGTTTTTCACCTTTGTAATATTACATTGGACAATTTAACACAAAATAAAAGTTTTATCAACCAATTATTTATTGTCACCAATGGTAATATCAAGCATGATGTAAAAAAAATATATACAAGTGGCACCATTCATATTTGTATAAGCATCTAATTTGGTTTTTACATTACAATATTGTATAACCCTTGTTTGATCCTCATTATATCCAAAATATTTTTTTCTATCTTCTTTTTAACAATAAATTATTCAATAAAATAATATTACACGAAAATTCAAAACCTTTTTCTTAGTTTTTAACCATGCATTATTCATCAATTTATTATTCCAAAATACATTTTTAACCTCTATTTGTTTCTCATTTTTCATCCATAAAAATGAAAAATATAACCGTTATCCATCACATCAAATGGAAAATTTGGGATAGTAGTCTAGCAGTTATTCGTCTTCAAAATTGTCACGTCAATTTGTTTCTCATTTTTCATCTATAAAAATGAAAAATATGATCGTTATTCATCACATCAAGTCATCAATTTTGAATTTATATCTATTGTGTGGGGTCCAATAACGACTATATTTTTCATTCTCATTCTACAATAATAAGAATCAAACGGGCCTTAGTAAAAAATGTGCCCAAATAGGCTCATAGTACAGTGTCCAATATATGTATATTAAAAAATTCGTAGACATGTATTCCTAGTTATTTAAGTCATAAATGAAAGTGAAATATTTAGACATCGTGTGAAGCGATTCTTTTGACGAATGTAAGGTTCAAAAGTAGGAAAAAATCACAGAAAAATGTGAAAAAATATATATACTTTCAAAATGTGTGATTAAAAATAAGTGTAAAGAAAAAGTAATTTTGAAAAAATAAGTTTTAAACAAGAGCTTTGGCATTTTAGATGATATTAGTAGCGTAGCAACGTTCTTTGTGCATTTATATTTGCAAATTCATTCAATTGCCTAGCAAAGTTATATACAGTGCTGACTGTCAAGTTAAATGCTAATCTTTAAATATTATTAGTGATGACAAACATTTGGCACCAGATAAAACGTATAAAATGATGAGTTTCTGTGGATTAATCAGAAAACACTCTACTAGTCCAAAAAGAAAAGCCCTTAATTGCCATAACGGGCTCGTGCGATGTTAGGATGTTAACGATAAGCCAAAATAAAATGAATTCAATAAGTAAACATATCTAACTTACTAATGCAAGTCTTAAAATACTGTCTAAAATGTCTTAAAACCCGTTTAAATGCATGAATTTCTAAATTAATGCAATCCTAAAACTACTTGTAATGTAATAATTAATCAAAATAAGGAAAAATGGATAGAAAAAATGGGCTACCTCCCATCAAGCGCTCGATTTATAGTCTCAAGTTCGACTTTTGCACAAGTGTTTCATGGCATTTTGAATATGGTTTTGGGGGTCCTACTTAGCTTGCTCAATTTGACTTTGTTTCATATTACGACTTTTCTCCAAATTTTAACATTTCATGCTCCAAGTAGTATGACTTCTCCTCTCACCCGTTTCGTACCCAACAATGTACACCTCAACATCCTTGTATTGTTTAATCACAAATTCAATTTTTGAGCAAACGATTAATTCAATAGATTGCATGCTAATTTCCTCTTCTTTGCATGCTGCTAATTTTTTTGGCCCGTTATAATTTATTTCCCGATATTTTCATGCTCTTCTTCTTTAATTGAAACTTTCTCGAGTTCAATGTTTGTATCCAAAACTTTTGGCAAAAAAACAATAACAGTTTCTTGGAAAGTCTCCTCATCTTGTTGTATTTGTTGGAAGTTCGGTAGATCTAATTCTCTTAATTGAAGTTCATCAATAATCCGTGGAAAAAATAATTCTACAGGCGAATCACTCACGTCGAAATTTTGCAAGAGAAATAATGCAACAGGCAAGTCACCCAGGACAGTTTCATCCAGTTCACATTCCACTTTTATATCTCGTAGTCGATGTCCTATAATGAAATCTTCCACAAGCATATCTCTCTCATCAATTTCTTGAGTTGTCAATTGTTGTTGTTTTATGATAAAGTCACGTACGAGCATTTTGTTGAAATCAATCACAACTTTTTTTTATCCTATTAATTTTGATCTTTTTTTATATGCTGAAAATGAGAAGAAAAAAACTGAACTACAAAAATAAAGAAATAAAAATACAAGTAGAAGTTCGAATTAGTGCCACGAGAAATAAAATTAAACTCAAATACAATATCCAACAACAGCGCCAAAACTTGCTCACAATTAAAACCACAGCAAATGTATAGTTCGTTAACAAGTAATAAAGTGAATTTTGAGTCCAAGTATCGTCCCACGAAGATTGATTGGTTCAATTTTAATTATCGTGACCTTGACCGAAATAAGAATAATGTGATGTGTTTGTTTGTGACAAAACTATAACTGAAATAATCTACTTGCGAGTAAATCAACGAAACTAAATGTAGATTATTTTAAAATGCAAATTGATGTGTTTAATAAATGACAAACGCACTAATATCCCGAATTCTTATGTAATAATCTATTTTAAACATAGTTCTACACTTTGACAATACGATTGAATTTTGTCAAATCAATATTCCTATTTTATTTAACAATCTCTCTCTCATAATATTAAATCTATTATCATATATGACCCGACTATATTTCTATGACGGATGCGAACATACAAGAGTGCATGAATTTTTATGAACACTTAAAGATTCATATAGAGCATAACGATATATTGCTATCACATATCAGACCTTATGACAATTTATAATGTCGAACATATTTCCTTTCTTTTGAATGCATAAAATAAACTACCAAATTCACACAACAACTGTGCACAATAACCGTGGAGAAAAGAAAATCATATAAATAATTCAATATAACGTGTTTTAATGTTATGTAAAACTAAAAATTAAAATTCATATTATATGGTTTATCGTTCTTCTAGCATAAATAAATCTAGCATAACATGTTATGAAGAAGAAAACAAAAGAAATATTAGAGAATCGACAACACACAAATAAATCTTGAATTGAATTTTCGAGTCTTGGAATGCATGATGACCACTTCTGGACGACCCAACATCTTTAAAAGACGTCTCAAAATTTGTTTCCATAAGAGTTGAAATCATATAAGGAAATCGAAATTTTTCCTCAAAAAATGTGTTATGCCATAGCATAGTACAAACTCATGCTATATGCTATGGCATAGTTCAATGAATTTCAACATTGGAATTCTTTGAATCATGCCATGCGACCACATGGAGAGAATAATTATGCTATAGCATAGTTCAAGTGAAATTTCATTCTTTGCGTTTTGATTCCCGAACTCCGTTTTCTCGTTTCTTGACCTTTTTCTCGTTTTCTCTTCTTCCATTACTCCACATCTTCGCTAAATTGGTCTTCGATTCTTTCACATCTTCGTTTATTCTTCCGAGTCATCTTTCGACTGTATGCGCTTTGGTCCCTAAACTTTTATTTTCTTCATTTTAGCCACTTTTTGCTTGTTTCTCCTAAATTCCACCATGTTCATCAATGTTATCCTACAAAACATAATTTATATAGAATTAAGCCATATTTCGATATATTTACCAACAATTGTTCATATTTTATACCCTAAATAAATCTATAAAACACACTCATCAACCACTAAGGGAAACCACCATATTAATCTTTTAAATTAATATTTTTTGAAATAATGAAAAGCATAAAAAGGTCCGTACAAAGAGCCACCCAAAAGAGATCATATTGTGTGTCCTGTTTTGCAATCTCATCTTTTTCTCAGTCCTACTCACGACAGTGAGAGGTAGGTAAATAGAGATGTTCTCTTCTTTGGACGATGCCCAAACTAAACTGATGCATATAATTAAGCCACTTAGTCACCTCAGACACGTTCTAAAGCATATTTTGGCTTGTGTTAGTGAACTTGTTTTCTTTATTTTGTTTGCTTTTAATGTTTGATTCAAAAGAGGGACATTGTTTAAGGCTTTCTATTTTGTATGAAGTAGATGGCCTGGTTTGAATAAAACCTATTACAACGTGAGGAAAAAATTCAATAGCGTTTCATGTTAGTATATCTGTGCAAAGTCAAAGAGTTGTCGATGAAATTAATTACTCGATATTCATCTAGAGTGAATAAGATTGTGATTCTAAATCATTTCTTAGCATTCGGTTAAATTAATGAGTATTTGATCAATCGATTATGGATCAATGGGCTTTGGTTTCATGTTCGTCTCTTCTTTAATACTTTCGTCCACATCATATACATTCTTTGTTTTATGAGCTCCTTTTATATTTTATCTAGAGGAAATTACACCCAACCCTGATTTTAGATTTCCATTATCACAAATCAAGAATCAAGTTTCATAATACAAAAATCAGGTTTTAATTAATAATTTAATTTTTATATCTATATACAATATAAATTAATTTATATACGATCCCTACCAAATCTCTCTAATATCAAACTTTAAAATCAAACCCATCTCCTCTCCACTCTCTCTGCTCAAACGCCGCCGCCACTACAGCTCACGATTCTTCCCATCGCCGGAGAAATAATTGATGCTGTCTCTACCTTCTCTATTCTCATCGTCCCTCACTCTACCTATTCTCCTCTCCGTCTCTCCACCCAAACCGCAGCATTCATCGCCCCTCGCGATTGTTCTGTAGCATCGCCGTTGTTCAGAAGCCCTAAAATCAATTGTCCCAGTCCCTATTCAACGCTGCTTCGTACTTGCCCATCCAATTTCTCAATTTCTCCCTCACATCGTCGCAGCACGGCGATGTGAACCTGCTGCTTCTTCAGTTTAGTGGTGATGGCGGCGGCAACACGATTGCGATCTGGTGGACTTGTGGAGACTGTTGTGGTGTGGTGGATTTGTGGTTGTGATGTGTGGATTTGTGTGATTCGTGGTGGTAGGGGCGGCTTAGAATTTTTTTAATAGGGTTGGTGGTTGCGGTATGGTGCGGTGGAGATGGTGGAGACGGCAGTTGTGGTGTGGTCTGCGACGCGAGGGACGATGAAGGTATGAGGGGCGCTGCAGATCGCGTCATAGCAGCTTAGATGATTTTTTTTTTTGTTGCTGGATGGGTGTTGGTGGTAGTGGTGGTATGGTGGTTTTAGTGGTGTTTGGGTGGTGGTGAAAACGTTGGCTGCGATGTTTGAAACTGTGATTTTGTTGCTAAGAAGTGGTGGTGGTGGTGTTGGTGTTGGT